GAGGTAAAAGTATACCTCAAAATGAATCATAGCACCCCCAAAGACGTCTTAATTTTTTTGACAATATTTACTGTTTGTGTGACACACTACTAAAAATATAAAAAGCATTCAGTACTTGTTTGAGACATAACATTTTAACAACAAAAGTATAGATAACACCAGATTGTCAGTCCAACTCTGTAAGGAACTGTATATTGTTGTCACATATAAAATATCTTTCAGTTTTATTATCTGTCGTGTTGTATTGTGATTACTCTTCCAGTCATATGAGTGCAGTTAATTGCTCCAGTGATGCTCAGGTGAGTCATTTGTTTAATTTTGGATTGCACATCACCTCCTCACGTGCTTTCATAGCCTGGGTGCACTCGACTGCATTTTTTCCTGAAATGGTGAAACAAGCTTGTTGTTTCCACATTTTAGCAGGAACAGTTTTCTTGCATATTTATAAAGTATTGTGCTTATCTGAAGGTCTGCTCTCTTATAGCCAATACTACTGAAGTAGTACCCTTTTAGCACAGGCCGACACACAGCTCGCGCTCTCACAAATGTTTGGCTTGTGTCTTTGTTGTACATGCTAAATAAGGCATAGCGTTGTTATATCAGTGATAACATGACAGCACACTGAAGCTGCTCTGGCAGCATGTGACAGTGAAAAACCTAACTTTCAGCCTGCTTCATAATCATTTTGAGCATAGTCCTAGACTAAAAAGAACATTTAATCACAATCCGCATTAGAAATAGTAGTTAGTCCAGGATGAGACATAATCCAAGTCTTGGAAGCTAAACATTTATCTTTGTTTTCCCTTTGATTTGTCACCCATCTGTAGCTCTAAATACGTTTTAAACAGAAGAAGACAGGAGCGGCTCAGACAGGAGTTCCTTCACAAATGAATTTCTGGGGGCTTGTATTCCTGACACAAGCCTTACCGTTGGATTTCAGAAAAGAGGAACAAAAGAAAATGACTTGGTAAACACTAACCGTTTTTTGGCAGCAGACAAGGAAATTGTTTTTCAACCTAAAGGCTGTAGACATGTTTCACTGAAAAGTCAGTGTATGGCCCATGGGCCAGGAAAAGCCCACCAGAGGGTCCCAATCTGGCCCACAGGATGGCTTTGGAAAATGCGGATCATTTTAAAGGCTTAAACTTTGAAACTGTATTTTCATAAGTTTTACTCTTCTTAATAACAAAATATATAACCTATGGCATTTCACCAGAGCAAGTAACAAATACACTTTTATTTTTCAATTTTTAGTATCTATTTTTTTTATTCAACGTTTCTTTTTTTCTTTTTTCACAAAGTGCACAATATGACATTTTCTGTGAATTCACACATCATTTCTGTTTAAGGACAAAGTCCTTCATTTCTTTACAGTAAAATTATTTTTGGTGTAAAGGCTCCATCAATGTAAATTTTTTTTTGAACAGATATTAAACACACTAACCAAACTAACCTCAACCGGTATGATTTCTGCCAGAAGAAGGGCCCCAAAGATAATTAGTAAAGAGCCAATCAGAAACAGGAATATTGCCAGTGCAATCGCCTTGTATGGGATCTTTGGAGGGGGTTTCTTGAACTGTGAAAAGTGAAATTGTGGAAAAATATAGTTACTTTTCAATTTTGTACATCAGAATATATTGATATCATATGATTTCATGAGGCAGCTACTCAATCTAATCTACTTTAATGCAATTAGAATTTCCCCATCTCCAGATCAGCTTGCTTCCATGTTTAGCAACAAGAAATATCTCTTGCCCCATGACGATTGGAAAGCTCCTCTGTATAGTACTAATCTCAAAATCATGAATTCTTCCTAAGATTACATGGAAAGATGCTGGGTTTGCCTAAATCCAAAGTACTGTGAACATTTTCCAAGATACTTGGAACAACCTACCTGGCAAGTAATTTAGAAATAATGCCAATATAACAAAGAGAACTGGCACTCTTTTAAATGCAAACAGTGATCACACTACCCAGTAATTTCATTTATTTGTCTTCCACGTTTACTCCACTTTGTTTGTAAGTTAACTATGTACGACCTACTCATGATATTACTGTTGAAAGCAGCTTCATTTATCATGCCTAAAACTTTTGCAAAGTCGTTTTAATTACAGAGGGCCTCAGCTTTTACACAGAATCATTACTTAACGATTCATAACAAATCACTGCTGGTGGTGGAGAAATGTTTTTGTAACATTCTGTCATCAATCTACAAAGTCTCTCACCTGTAAGTCTATGTAACCATCATCATCAGCAGCCAGCCGTGAGTATTTGACCTTATTGTTAGATATTCCAGCAGTGAGCATGTTGCTTCTAGTTGTCATCATTATGGCATAGAAGCTGTTTGGAGAGAGAAGCACAGACAGGTAATCATCCAAGATGGCTACATTTATCTCGTTCGGTGTCGTGAGCTGAAGGAGAGCCGTCTATTTTTGATCTATCCAGAGAAAAACAACCTGACAACTAAAGCTCAACATTGATAGGGAAAGAAAAAAAAAAAAGGATTCTGCTCACTGATTTATAAAACTGCCCAAAGCATTTAGAAATAGAAAAGATTACTCAACATCCATCACAGTCGTCAAACTTATACATGCTCTCAACACAGATAGTTTTATAGGAACCATGAAATGCCGCTGAAATGGCAATCCCAGTAAAAAGACAGAGAGGCCAGTGACCGGGATACACTCATCTGCTCTTTTCATTTCCACTTCTGCTTGAACATGTAAACAGTGAACAGATAACTTCCTCAGATAAACCGGTTAACATTCAAATCAGGCAAGGTCATGGAATAGCTTGATTTAAAGTATTTATTATAGAAGAGAGATTTTGTGAAAAGGAATAGGGGAACTCCCCCGCCCCCATCTTTTCAGTAACAAATCCTTGCAGATAACAACTCAAGAGAATTTTGTGAGGGTCACTGCTTCTATTCCACACACAGTTTCTCGTATGCATCGCGAATAAGCAAATCAGTGTTAATGAAAACAATTTAACTGATTATTCTGCTTCACATGACGCAGCATCCATTCAAGAAAATAAAGAAAATATAAAAACCAAAATAAATACAGCAACACTGACCTACCCCAGAAGAACTCAGAGAAATCTGAGTATTCCTGTGATCTGATCTCTCTTAAGGCCTGTGTTGTGTTTAATTTGGATCCCAAAAAGGAAGACTAAGTCAGTGAATAAAAACTGTGGACGCTATATCAACACAGTATACAGGAGCAATCAGAAACATCTTGTTATTTTGCTGACAGCTGTCACATCGATTCGACACAGAGCCATTTGTGATCAGGAAAGCTCAGGGTTATGTCAATAATGTCGTAGTGAATCACAAAATTATTTTCAGGGGGACTTATCTTGATGACTTTTTTTTCTTCATTTATTTTTTAAATTAAGAAAAATTAACTTTAGTAATTTGGGGAATGATTTAAAAAGAAAAACACTGTGAGAAATTTAAGGAAATATAAGATACACATATGTAACTAATAAGACGGTAGGGGTGCGTGTGCAATATTGACTTCCCTTATTCACTGAACTACGATAATACGACATAAAGCAGAGTTACTAGCATCACTTAAATTCACAAACCCTGACTTACCGTAGCAAATCGCCATTATTTTACTGTGTACCAGTGCGCATTAATGCTAGCGAACTTTGGTTACCTAATTAGCTAGAACATTAGCCATTTAGAAGTTATGCTATCAAAAGCTAGCAAACATTAACAGACAGTCGCGAACACATAATGCGCGTTTCCTTCTCTCACCATTATCTGAGGTATGTACAAACAGCACACTTGTGTCCATGTAGCTCGGAATGCTCTCAGCGGCGCCACAAACACAGCATTGTTTACACCTATTATAAACTACATCAACTTCCTTATTTTTGGTTTCGTCATGGCGCATGCGCACACAAATGTCTCGTTTTAACTTTCTAATCAGTTAATTTAAACAACACGCAAACTATTAGATAATGAACACGGTGAGAAATATGAAAAGAAATGAGAAAAGAAAGGAACAGAAAAAAAACCAAAACAAAAAATATCACTAAAAGCATATGAGCAAAGAGCAATGTCAGCATGACATTAAACATAACCTAAAACAAAATACCTTTAATAAGGCAGAATGAATACATATCTAAGAAATACAAAGCAAAACAAATATTTCAATAAAGTGGAAACAATAAAATGCAAGAAAGAAATGAGCTCAATTAATCACATAAAATAACATTTAAAAAATGAAGGTGGCCCAAATGCAAAATTCTTAATAAAATCCAACAGAATGTTATGCTAAAAGCTAATTAAAGGTGCTCAATATGTAAAAATATAAATGAAAATAATAAAATACAATGCATCAGTATTTTAAAAAACTATTTTAAAAGCTGGCTTCATAAATTCACTCAGTGTATTTCTAGTGATGGTTATTTTTGTTGAGAGTGACCAGGATGAACAGGATTAGAAATGACCATATCAGAGAGATAGCTTAGGTGATATTTAGAGACAAAGTTAGACAGATGAGGCTCAGATGGTTTGGACATGTGCAGAGGAGGGATAGTGGATATACTGGCCAAACAATATGAAATATGAAGCTCCCAGGCAGGAGTACAAGAGAAGATATTGTGAAGGAGGATATACAGAACTTAGTGTGACAGAAAAGGCTGTTAGAGATAGGGTAAAATGGAGGCAGATGATCTGTGATGACCCCCAAAGGGATCAACCAAAAGAAGGAGAAGTGGATTTATTAAGTAAAATAGCTCAAATTCACAATAAAACTGAGCAAAAATGATTTACTAAATACAGTCAAAATAAATAAATGAGCAGCAGATATCAGATGTCCACAAAGTGTCTCAGTATTACAGAGTATAAAATGTAGTGGATAGTACAATACAGTGGCTCTGCATAAACAGTTAACATGAGAGACAATGATTGTCTGCTAGATAGACATGTTGTATTGCAGGCTGCCAGTACGCACAGACAGACTACAATTACCACTTAAATCCAAACCTACAGACAATTTAGAATCACCCTAATATGGATGTCTTTGGACTGTGGGAGGAAATCAGTGAAAGCCCACTCAGGCACAGAGAGAACATGTAAACTCCACACAGAAAGTGCACCAGCACTTAGAAAGTCCTTCATTCGATATTCCACCTCCATAAAAGTAAAGAGCCTTCTCAGCTAAAGTGTTGAAACTAGCTATTATGTTGGTGCGTTATAATTATTGAAATATTGTTGTAAAAAGAGAATACGTTATTATATAAGTAGCAATTTAAAAGGTGAAGCAAGTCATGGTGTTTTTTATGATCTATAAAAAAACCACAAGATTAAAATGACTGAAAGATAAAGGGTATTAACTTTAGGCACCTTTTTAGTGTACAATGTTTTGCTTGGAAACCTTGGTTCCTGGTATCCATGCCACCCACATCAAGACTGCAGAAGATCATATGGACGTAGCATGTAACATGGCTTATATACCGCTTTTCTATTTGAGCAGTCAGCACAAACTGATGTTAGCTGTCGCTCCCCACCACATAACACAACAAAACATGCTCGGCAGTGTATTGGACAACACGACTCAAAGGGCTTGAAGCCTTCAATTCTTCCCAAAAACTTCCCCAGAGCTCAATTTTCTGGATGGATCGTCATCAGAACAAGCCTGACCTATGGAGACCCCATCATGAAACACAAAGGTTACTAAAAATCTGAGAACCAGATATCCTGCCCATACCCTGACGAGTCAGAGCTAAAAGGTTTTTCTCCAAATTGTAGTGTAAGTAAAAATATGGTTATAATGGGCATACCTTTGCAAATGATTCCAAGGTAAATCCGTGAATTAGCTGCATACAAACTACAAAAGTAATGCATAAATAGCCCTTTCCTGTAAGCGATCACTGTAATGTAAATGGATTGGTAATTACAGTGGTGTGAAAAAGTGTTTCCCCATTCCTATTTTTTTGTATGCTTGTCCCACTTAGTTGTTAAACATCATCAAACAAATTTAAATATTAGAAGACAATGACACAACTGAAACAAAATGCAGTTTGTAAATGAAGGTGTTTATTTTAAGGGTGTGAAAAAGTGTTTGGAACATCATACTAACAGTAAAATATGATGGGGTAGTGTGATGGTCTTGGGCTGTTTTGCTGTTTCAGGACCTGGAAGAAAATGGAAGCATCAATTTACCGCAATTTACCAAAATTGTGGGTAACCTGTTCATGACCTGTCCTGATGCAGACTTGGGTTCTACCACAGGACAATGATCGAAAACACACGAGGAAACCCACCTCTGAATGACTTAAGGGGAAAAAAGGAAGACTTTGGAGTGGGTCAATCAAAGTCCTGACCTAAATCCGGTTGAGATGCTGTGATATTACCTTAAAAAGGTGGTTCAAGCTAGAAAAACCCTATTCTGCAAAGATGAGAGGACCAAAATTCCTCCACAGGGCTGCAGCAGACTCATTGCTAGTTATAGCAAACACTTGATTGCAGTTGTTGCTGCTAAGTATGGCCCAACCAGTTATTATTGTTTATGTGGGCAGTAATTTACAAATTTGTAATTTGTAGCTTGCCATCACCAGTGTGTGAATGTGTGTGTGAATGGGTGGATGATTGTGTTAGCGCTATACAAATACAGACCATTTACCATTTTACCATTTAATTTTTTCATGCAGGGCCGTGTACGTTTGAATTATCTTCCCCCTTAATAATAAATACCTTCACTTAGAAACTGCATTTGGTCTTGACTTGTGTTATTTTGTCTAATATTGAAATTTGTCACATTTAACCATGACACAAATACAAAACAAAAATGGAATCAGGAAGAGAGCAAATACTTTTTCACATCACTGTATATCGTACTAAAACCCTCATTCACCCATTCGTACATTTTTAATCTAACACTCACATGGTTGCATTGGGGACAGGGTTTGTCATCCAGCCCACAAATTCTTCAACATGCAGGTTGGAGGAGCAAGGGATCAAACCTAACCTTTCGATTAGCTGACAACCTGCTCTAGCTCCTTAGCCATAGCATGCATGCGTATGGCCCCATGTGTCACCCATAAATCTTTGGACCAATCTCCAAAGATTTCTTTGGACCTATATCTAAAGATTTGAGTTGCATAACATTTCTTTTTATACATTTACTTTGGCAACAGTCCACTCCTTGGTCCTTTACTCCTTTTCCTGGGATATACTACAGCTTTTTCATAATACCCTATCTAGAAACTATTGATTGTGAACTATCTTTTTATGATTCTATTTTTTTGCTGTTAAGATTTATGTAAGCATATAAATACGGACTATCTGAAGAAAGGCTAACTGTTGGTATTTTCCCCTTCCTCTCAAAATTTCAGGCATGCAGTCCTCAGAAAGACATCATCCTTGAGTTTCTCTCTGCTATTTCTCTTTTTGTTACATTTCTATGTCACTGTATTTGTGATTTATACTCACACTTTCACAGTAAACTCAATTCCACCTGCCGTTTGTTGCCGGGATGGGACGGGTCCTTTTTGGTTAAGCTGAAAGTAAATGTCACTCTGCTTAAGGATAAGATCCTTCTTGAGCTGCATACAAAACAAAGTCCCTACCATTACAGCCAGAAGATTAAGACCCATATTTCCCCACGTTTCCACAAAACAACAGCCGTCACTTGCTTGATAGTGTGTCATCTGTATTGCTAGATATAGAAATTTAGATACAACCATGCTCATAAATATTTATCAGTGTAGTCTGAAGAAATGCAACCTACTTTCTACTACTGAAATATATCACTAATGATTACTTCACTGCTAAACTAATCCTAACTGCCCTTGCTGACTATCAATAGCATCAGCCACCTTCCTTCAGGCAGCATTTCTTCACTCAGTGGGAGTCAGAATCAGATAACAAGCGGAAGAGAGTTCACACAGTTTGGGATTTCCTGATGCAATTATATACAATTTATCTTTTAAAGGCAAGATATTAAGCTCCAGCTTCAGCATCTTAGCTCCACTCATATATTGGGTACTTATGTATTATATAAGATGAAGATGCCTTCATATATGGCCTTAGAGCAAAGATGAACTTTGCATGCAGACTTTAGTTTAAAAAAAACTGGGTCAAAACTATACACTCTATTGTTATGCTTGTCCATGAATGTCTCTGCTGAATTTTGTACTAATCCATCCAATAGATACTGGGTCTTTCCATGGAAAATCAGTGTGTGCCTCCCAACAACCCCCTAAGAATGTATTTATTTATTTCTATATTTGTACAATAATGTCTGCATATCAATTGAAGTGATAGAAAATTGTACCTTTAGACTATGAAAATGGACGAAGGGCGAGGTGCTCAAAGCACATAAGGGTAGTTTGAAATTTGATCCCTCAGATGTTCTTCAGTAGGAGCTAGGCACATGAATCATGACTAGAAGATGACCCTGGGATTAAATTTTAGATCAACAGGAGACCTTTCATATACACTAACTAGTTTCAAACAGTCACCTGATCACACATGGGCATAAAAAAATCTTTACCCAAAAGTCTTTTTAGACAGTTTTCATTGCTTGAAGGTCATTTTTTTATGGCTTCAAAAAAACGTTCAAAGATTTCAGTGTATGCCACTGAAACATTTATTTCATACATTTACTTTGGCAAGTGGGAACTCTTCTCATGTTTAGCTGATTTTATATGGAATAATCTGATTTCTTTGCATAGGTAAAATCTTCAACCAACTGACAGCTAAGGCAATTAGTTGGGTTCATCCACTGGAAACCATGAATGCTTATCCATATTCATTAGAATTTATCTTTTGCTGGCCATGAGCATTTCTATGGAATTTCATGGCAGTGGCAATAGTTTGATGGAGAGTCTGGACCAACTTGTGGATCAACTGGTTGACAGAAAGACACTTCTTTTCTA